GATTCAGGTGGACCCAAACTGGCATTTTTAGTTAAGAAAAAGTCCAGCTGTAGGCTACAACATAAATAAAAGTGGTCAGGAGAACAGCAGCAGAAATCTAACTTTTGTTGTGCTGGAAGCATAAGCTCAGCAGATAGGTTTCCTTAGGATGTTCTGTACTTGTAGCTTAGGTCAGTTTGTCCTAAACTACCTGAAAAGTCTAGCCTTCCATTTAACACCAGGAGACCAATATGTGAAAGATGCAAAAAGAGAGACGAGGGTAAAGCTTCTTCAGGAGCTGCTCCGTTTGCATTTTTTGCCGTTTTTAGCAAGATTGTTTTCCAGCCCCAACCTTTGTCTTGCTACAGAGTCTTTGCTATCTCTTTCTGTATAAACATACATAGAATCATGCATCGCTGGCATTTCTTGTACCTAGTGAGACAAGAAGAGCACACTGATGAGCAAAGAGAAAAAGAATTACAACCTACAGTGAGATCTCAAAAGCAGGAACAGAGTGTGTAGCTATACATACACTCTTTTCTCAAATATACTGATATTTGATGCAGGGAATCCACAAGAGAGTACTGGAAATGGAAGAAAGACACTGCATTTCCAGATCCTGGCTCTTTAAATATGTTTCAGGATAAATTTCATAAATCAAAATAGCATCTTTTACAAGACTAATAAGTGTGCTTAGAAAAATCAAAAACAGGAATTTCAGGTCTTCCATGTCTGAAAAACAAGGGTTGTGTATTTGATTCATTTGACCAACTAGAAGAGCTGGAAAAAATGGGGGAAAAAAAAGTCTCTTCATGCAGACTTAGTCCACTTGTGTCCTTAGATCACCAAAGCCGAGGCCACAGAGGGAGAGATAGGGAGCAGGGAAGGGAGTAGTAAGATAAGTATTTCCGGGACTGAAGGAAAGTACCTGAGCTTTGACGATAACTCGGTAATTCTGGTATGGCATTGACATTACTCCCAAGCTGGATCTTAATATAATGATAAATACACATATTTTAACCTTGGGGTTCACTTCATCACAGCCCTATTTTTTCCAGTAGCAGCCACTAGAGGGAGGGCATCAAGTATCTGAGCGGCTTTTCCTTTCCAAATCTAGATAACTCCCTACAGTATACAAAAAACCCTACATAACCCTGCCGCGCATGCGATGTGTCGGCACATTGGGCAGGCCATAGAGAAGATGAGGTCTCCAGGAATACTTGGTGTGGCAAAGACAATGTGAAAGTTAAAGAGATCCGTCATTGTGTTCTGAAAAACAAAGCAGGGAAGCACAACCCCGAGTGCTCCGTCCTGTAGTCGTGGCAGGTTGTATTTATGAGGCATTTTAGCAGCACTGTTGAGTGACCCGGTCAGCAGCACTGAGGCTGTATAAACTGAGACACCTGAATCCAGGGGCAGTATCTGCTGCTCTCCCCAGACAAGCAAAGATGACTCAACAAATCACTCCTGAAAACCAGCAGCTTAGCAACAGCTTTATTAAGCTGTCTAATTTCAGCTCCTTCTAACAAATCGGCCTGCAAACTGCAGTTCGGAAATGGCAGCAGTGCATCATACACAGCTGTCCCAAAGCGTAACCTCCAGGGGAGGGGTTGAACGGACAGTCAGTCAGTTAATTCTGCGTCTGCAGCTATCAACACCTGATAAAGTAGGTCCTGGCACAGAAGGATTGAGAATTTATCTCCAGAGCAAAATGTTAGTGGAAATCCTGGTTTTTTGTTTGCTTGTTTTGTTTTTTTGTTTGTTTTGTTTTGTGGAGGGGAAAAAATGGGAGAGTTTTAATAGCTTGCTGCCATGGTGAAAGCTGAAGGGAACTATGCTAGAAAGAGTCAGTCTTTTAAATAGATAGTTTTAGGGTGTCCAGTCTAAGGCAGTACTGAAAGCAGTTCACACCCCCATTGTTCTGTCAAGCCAAACTGAAATATTCTGAATACATAGAAGGTGTTCTCGCAGGTCCATGTGAATATTTAAAGCAGCAGTGTATGGACACGATAACATTTCATTGTTCAGACCCTAGAAAATACAGGATAGAAATAAATGGCAAAATATCTCCCAACCGCAGAGCAATAAACTTGTCAGTCTGGAGACACAGAAATAAGGAGTGTTTTACTCTGAGCCTGAATGAATCAAGGGAGTGGTTTAAGTAACATCTCACAAATACATGAAAAGTGGGCAGCCTACTGAGAGACCTACATTTCTGTTTAGCTGTGACTTAGTGCTTTTTTTGTTGTTGTTGAATGCTACTCCATGTTATATTTTACTGAAAATAAATTATTTCATCTTCACTGTGTGAGTGATTTTTGGGGGCAACACAGAGATCATTCTCTCCTTTTTTTTTTCTGTTAAGAAGGAACATCACAGTTAATCACTTTCTGCTAAATAACATGGGAAGAAAGAGAGAAAGAATAACCTTTTGCCGCCAAGCTCAAGAAATAGATCTAAGCCAATGCGACCTAGCAGCATTAGCTATAGTTTAGAATGGCCGTAAGAGATAGGGATGATGACAAATTGCAGAAGGTAGCTGGTAAGAGTGAAGCTAAGGTGCACTGGATTTCCATGCAGAATAGCAAGAGCAGTGGCTAGTTCAGCAACAACTCGGTGGATGGAAGGGATTCTGCTATGCCTGCGTCTCCTTGTTTTCTCGATTTATGAGGGGAAAACAATCAAAGAAAAAAAAATCTATAAACTTCCCCAAAACATTATAAACAGTGGAGCAAAGTTTTCAGTTCTGATTAGTCACACACTTTGGAGCTTACAGGTCCTGGGCATGCACAGAACATGGTCTCTGGAGGGATTTACAAGTCAGTCTTTTCATTGAAATCAGTTTGACTTGCTTAGAAAACCTGCTGGATCCTTTCCTGTTTCTTGAGCTGCTGAAAACTTTGTAAAACTGCAGCCTTTTCACCATGAGGACAGTGAAACGAGCACTGGACCTAGCTGGACAAACAGCTGAGCAACCCAGTCCGAAAGCAGTGTCAGCCCCGCTTTGGGCAGGAGGGCTGCGTGGGCTGAACCTCTGCGATCCTTTCCAATGCGAATGACTCCTCTGTGATTACCTGATTCTTTTGCAGACAGACCCAAACTACTTCCCTCGGGCCTTGAAGTGCAGCTGCCAGGTCTCCCATCCTAGTTGCTTGGAGTCGTGACCAGTTCCTCTGCGCAGGCTGCCCTCACTCCTGGATTGCAGGCTGGGGTTTGGGACCGAACCACAAGCCCATGAATGAAAACAGCACCCCCCTTCCTGACCGCTTCTGCATTCATGCCATTGAGGGCATTTTTACAGCCCATGTGATGCTGTACAAGCAGCTCCAGAAATTCTGCTGCAAAATTCTGTGCCAGTCTTGTATATCTTAAGGAAACTCTGTAACTTAAATTCCTAACATCAGTTCATAACTTTTACATGGAAGCACTGAATTATGACTTAAGTACTGCAACATTTTTCATTATTCCTGAGTGCCTCAGGTGTTTGATTTACTTAACACGAGTGAAAGAAACATCATGTATTCATCTTGTGTCAGCCTACTGAACACACGTAGGAAGGAGGGGACAAGAGGACACTGGAGGAGAGTGACATTTCTGTCAGTGCTGGGAACAAATATGTTACCATTACACCCTGCCTTGCTTGCTGTTATCTTAGCTTAGAACAAACCCTTGTCCATGTGTGCCTCAAACACCAAGAGTGTACACAGCAACAGAAAAATGCAGACAGCTTGTGCCATGATAGAGCAACAGGGCAAAAATTACCAGGAAAACAATTGCCATAATCTATCCAAGAAAGCACCATACCCAGTTGTGCCTCATGCCCAAATGCTGGTTTGAGCCTGTTACTGGGAATTGGGCAAACTCTTGGCTGGCCGCAGCGCACAGAGGGCAGAGCAGAGTCCCGTCCCCACAGCTGGGCATCGCTGCCAGCCTGCTGAGGGGGCACCGTGCCACCACGCAGGCCACTGGTGAGGGTGTCACTGGCCACCCCACATCGCCTCTGGAGACTCACCGGGAGCGACTGCCCTCCAGGGGACTCCCCGCTGCTCAGCACCAGCCTCCACGCTGAGGCAGTGTCCAGTCACTGTCCACCCATCTAGCTGGTGTCCCGCAGCTGGTCTGTGAGGATGGTACAAGAGACCGTGTTGAAAGCCATGCTCAACACGGCTTATTCTCATCAAAATCCACTGCTCTCTCCTCGCCCTCTGAGCCAGTCATCTCATCACAGAAGGCTGCCAGGTTGGCTGAGCGTGATTTCCCCTGACTGCTACCATCCATCACCTCAGGGTTTTGAATATATTTGGAAATGTTTTCCAGGATTATCTGTCCCATCACCTTCTCAGGGATCCAGGTGAGGCCGACCTGCCTGTAGTTCCCTGCATCCTCCTCCTCCCTTTTCTTGAATACAGGAGTGACACTTGCTTGCTTTCAGTCCTCGGTACCCGTCCCCAATCATCACAACCTTTAAAAGCTAATCAGAGCAGCCTCTCAATGACATCTCTGCAGCACTCATGGTGGCCTCCCCTCAGGTCCGCCAGGTTTGTGGGTGTCGGGCCCTCAGCTGGCCCCTCACCTGTCCTGGCAGAGCTCCACACATTTCCGGTGCCCTCCTGCATAAAAGGCAAATCCCGCTCCTTGCTGTCCTGCTCTGGCTTTCCCTAAGAGCCTGTATCCATCCGACAGGGCACCCTAGGCATGTGAGCTATCTCAGCACGTCTCCATCATCCTCATGTGCTCATAGCCCAGTAACTGCACACAGACCCTTGATTCCTCCTGTTTGTTCTCTGTCCTGCTTTCCTTGGTGTGCAGACACTTTTGAGAAGCACCCAGAAATACTTATTTCCCAGAATGGGTATGAAAGCGTCCCCCCAAAAGAAGCACTTTTTCCAAAACCCCCTTCACCCTTGTTTTTGTCCTTTTTGAGGCCTTTATTGCTTGCATCACCTCACAGCCATTGCTTGCCATCCTCACTTGAGTATTGGTCATTCTCTGTGTCCTCCGTTGACCCTAGTTTAAAGCTCTTCTCTCCAGGTTGGTCATCTGGTTGGCAAAGATCTGGTTGGAAGAGGGTCCTGGTTCTTCCTAGCAGTCCTGCTCCTCAGAGAGGATCCTGTGGTCATAAATCTACAACCTAGTTGCTGACACCAACTGTGTGACCAGTGCAACATGCAGGATCTGACCATTCCTCCTCAAGCCTTTCCTCCTCGCTGGCAGGATTGAGGAGACACCACGTGAGCCCCCAAGCTCTCCGTGAGCCACGGAGTCACTCTTGACATGCTCTAGGTTTCCATTGGTGCCTATGTGGAAAAAGAAGTGGGGATAACAATCCCAGGGCCAGACAAACTCCACAGTCACTCCACAGTATCGCGGATCAGCCCCCCCTGCTTCTCCAGGTATCCTTCCTGACAGCTGAGTGTCTTCTGTAGGTGCAGATCAGCAGGTGCAGGAGCTATCCTGCTGGTGCCAGCGGCCAAAGCCCCCAGCTCTCACCTTCTTGGGAGTCTCCGCTCCCGACCTGACAGACAGACGGACTCTCTGCCTCTTCTTTGGTACATACAGTTTGGGATTTGGGTCTGGGATGTACATTTTGGGGCTTTGTATCTGTAGAGTCCCGAAGATCTCCTTTATGGCATCTCAGAGGCTGCACAGTCTCAGTCTCAGTAAGTCCTTCCAGTCATGCTGGTGCCAGCGGCCAAAGCCCCCAGCTCTCACCTTCTTGGGAGTCTCCGCTCCCGACCTGACAGACAGACGGACTCTCTGCCTCTTCTTTGGTACATACAGTTTGGGTTTTGGGTCTGGGATGTACATTTTGGGGCTTTGTATCTGTAGAGTCCCGAAGATCTCCTTTATGGCATCTCAGAGGCTGCACAGTCTCCGTCTCAGTAAGTCCTTCCAGTCCTTCTATTTCACAACAGATTAGCAGTGAGATGACAGTAGCAAAGGCAAATTCTTGCTTATCATCTGTTAAAAACTCTGGCACATCTGTAGGTAAAAGTGAAAAATACCTACTTGGATTGTCACGCCAGCTTTTTAAGGACACGCAATTGCAAAGACAGTAGGCAAACACACGAGTGTTCTGCCAGCTCAGGCCATCAAGATCCTCGGGGAATCTACATTCCTTCTTTTGATATTCACTCCTTCTACCCTTAATCATAAAGGTTCTGATTGTATGCCTCAGTTTTGCTCCTTCAGTCAGATGGATTGATCTGAGACCCTTCCTTCTATTAACGATTTTCTCCTTGTGAGCAACTCCCTGGCACTTCCTACCAGGTGAGACCCTTAGCAAAGTCCCCAAAATAGTGTTTTATTTTCTAACTACTATTCTCTCAAAGTTCAGGCTTGAAAAACTTGTGTGCCCCGAGCAGCAGCAATTTCCACGTAAGAGCATGTTGCTTCAGTGAAGGCTGTTGAGAGTGTTACGACCTTATGCTATTAATCCATGAAACTGTAGTCCAAGACATAGCTAAAACACAGCAGAAAACTGGTCTAGACATAGAGTAAAAATATAGTTGCAATCAGAGCATGTAGAAAGACTCAATTTTCAAATAAAAATCAAAAATCCTATGTAGAGTCCTGTGGAGCCCTGTTTGTCACAGGGCTTACCGTCTTATGCAATTACACAAGAATCCGTCCAAGGTTATCAGGGACTGAATTTTTTTTTTTTTTTTTTTGCTTGGGATTTGACAAAACAGATGTTTCACACCGTTAAGAACCTGGGAAGTGACTGAAACGTGACCATGCTCCCCAGGGGCTTGCACTGAATTTGCACTGGCAAGTGGGAAGTCCCAGGAGGTAGTCAGCTCCCAGTAATCCCAGCATTTCAGCTCATCCTAAAAGAGCCCTGCTCTGGACACAGGGACACCACAGGGTTTTGGTCCCACACTGGCAGCTCCAGAGGGGACCGTGCAGGGCTGCTCATCCATCCCTTGCTATGGATCCGCTAAACTCTGGGACCAGAACTCCCTGGCACTTCCTACCAGGTGAGACCCTTAGCAAAGTCCCCAAAATAGTGTTTTATTTTCTGACTGCTATTCTCTCAAAGTTCAGGCTTGAAAAACTTGTGTGCCCCGAGCAGCAGCAATTTCCACGTAAGAGCATGTTGCTTCAGTGAAGGCTGTTGAGAGTGTTACGACCTTATGCTATTAATCCATGAAACTGTAGTCCAAGACATAGCTAAAACACAGCAGAAAACTGGTCTAGACATAGAGTAAAAATATAGTTGCAATCAGAGCATGTAGAAAGACTCAATTTTCAAATAAAAATCAAAAATCCTATGTAGAGTCCTGTGGAGCCCTGTTTGTCACAGGGCTTACCGTCTTATGCAATTACACAAGAATCTGTCCAAGGTTATCAGGGACTGATTTTATTATTATTATTTTTATTATTTATTTATTTATTTAGTTAGTTAGTTATTTTTTGCTTGGGATTTGACAAAACAGATGTTTCACACCGTTAAGAACCTGGGAAGTGACTGAAACGTGACCATGCTCCCCAGGGGCTCGCACTGAATTTGCACCGGCAAGTGGGAAGTCCCAGGAGGTAGCCAGCTCCCAGTAATCCCAGCATTACAGCTCACCCTAAAAGAGCCCTGCTCTGGACACAGGGACACCACAGGGTTTTGGTCCCACACTGGCAGCTCCAGAGGGGACCGTGCAGGGCTGCTCATCCATCCCTTGCTATGGATCCGCTAAACTCTGGGACCAGCCTCGTCCCTGGCCTGTTCCAGCCCTTCCCATTTGTCTGCATACACAGATAGTGTCTTACCTTCAGTTTTTCTTCGCTGCACTCTCACAGACTCTGCTGTCCTGGATAACTGTGAGAACATGTCTATATGAAATAAAAGCAGAATGCAGGCAATATGTTTTTCTTTAGGAAATTAAATAACGATGCAAAATCTCTTCATTCAAGCTGTTGAGACCAGGCACAGAGAAGTACTTTATCCAGCTTCCAGCTGGCCCAGAGGACACCCTGGTGGGGTGTATATCGATACCCTTACATAGGATTCCTAAGCCCTACTTTGGGGGTTGCATGAGAATAACAACGGGAGATTTCCTGAAGTCGTTTCACGGGGTAGGTCAGCCACAGCAAGTACCTTTAGAACCGTTCTGTTTCTCCCTTGCCATGTATGTGACCTGAAGGAGCGATCTGATACTCTCCAAGCCACCGTGATCTCGAAGACTGGAACAGAACAACAAGCAAAAGGAGCCACGGGCAAGATACAGATTCCCTAGCTCCACAGCCAATATTAAAGTGATTAAAAAAATAGAGGCTTCACTTGGTATTTCCAGTGTCAGCTAACCAGGAAGGGCAGAGTTCAATTTGCATTTATAGGAAACTCAAATAGACAATCACTCAAATAGACAATCTTGACACACTGCAGAAATCCTTGTTACTTGTAAATGGTGTTTGATTAAATGCTTTGAAGTATCATATTAATAAAAAATAAGCAGTGACTTTTATTTGCTTTAGACTCTTTTTTTTTTTTTCAATAGTGTGCCACTTGCAGGGGCCTTTGCTTGGTTTGTGGTCTTTCAGCAGGCGCTTTCTCTCTCCCTCACTCAAGGTAGCGTCCCGTCTCTAGCTGCCGGCCTCCTCTTTGGTGGCCTGGCAGGACTAGGTGCTTACCAGCAGTCCAAAGACCCGAGGAACGTGTGGCTTTCTCTGGGTAAGTTTCCTTGGCACTTAGGTACTAAACATTGCTGCTAGACATATAAATAGCAACATTTTTTTCTGGTGTGCTTCTGCAAACTAGTGCTGCTTTATTTATATGAGCGCTGGTAATATGGAACGTGTGTGAAAGACGTTTGGCTGTGAAGGAGCGTTTCCAGCCTATGGCCATGGAACAAGCGTGTGTGCAGGAGCGAGCACCCCGTGACGTCGCAGGATGGGGTGTTAAGGAACACGGGTTTCCACAGGTGCCTCAGTAAAGCAGTGTGTGTTTTAGCATGTCATAGGCTGTGGAAGAAGTTGTCCTAAGGAGGGAATGATCTGTTCTTTTTGCTCCTAGAGGATGAGGCACTTACAGTATTAAACCATTAAAAAAATCAAATATACTGTAGGCCAAATTTACTCTTAGCTCTTAATGTTTACTGAGTCAATTAAATGTTGGCTCTTAATATTCAATGTTAACATGTTTAGAATGAATGCATATAGGATCAAATCAAATGTCAAAAATGAAAGTTTTGATTTAGTTTCATTTTTTGTTCAAAGGTCCCAGAAAAACTGAGAGTGTAATCATATTTTGCACCAACCTCATGCTTTTTGACATCATCCTACCTTTCTGGCAGTTTTGAGATTGTTTGCATTAAAAGAGATATTATTCCTGTTCTGCAAATAAGGAGAAACTGAGGGAGCATCTTGGTTACCTGCTCAGAGAATTGGAGGTTGTGGGTGGTTAGACCGTGGTCTTAACTCTGACTAGGATTTCTTATTTCTAATGAGTATTGGCGCACGATTACCGAGGTTACTGTAAAGGTTGCAGCGGCTCTTCCTTTTAACAAAACAAATAAAGAGCAGTTTTTGTTGCATACGTTCCTTACCGAGGTTACTGTAAAGGTTGCAGCAGCTCTTCCTTTTAACAAAACAAAGAGCAGTTTTTGTTGCATACGTTTTCTTGTGAGGATGAGGGAAGCATTCTTGTCTGCGGGTGTTTAACGTTTCCAATACTGTTGCATGGCTGTGCTGATGCTTCAGACCTGCTTCCCTGAGGTAGCTCTGGCTGAACTTGCTTCTTTTCTTCTCCCAGTGGCATCTGGAACTTTGGCTACAGTTATGGGAATGAGATTTTACAACTCCAGAAAAGCAATGCCCGGGTTAATTGCTGGTGCCAGGTAGTCACATGCCTTTGTTTTAGTCTGTATTTTTCAATAAGCTTTTTGTTTAATTTAGATGTGGATTTATTTGAGAATGTTACATGAGTTCTGTGAAAAATAACGTGTTGGAGTTCAGCTAAATGAAATCCTGCCAGTTCTTCCTTCTTGTTTTTTTGTGGGATTTTTAACAAATATTCTGTTCTACAGTTTATTCATGGTTGGACGGCTGGGATTGCAGATCATGGAAAAACCTCTTCAGCCATAGGTCTGCAGCAAGTCACTTGAAGATACATGACTGAGAAGCCTGAAAATGCAACTGCCTGAATGCACTGCACAAAAGTGGAAAAGACACTGCTGCCTGTGCACTGTATTTTTCATATCTTAATGATCCCTACATTTTTAAAGGACAGAAGCTGAGAGCCCTTATGTTGTCCAAAATGGTATTTGTCTCAATCTCTTCTGCATTGTGAACCAAGAAAATATGTAAACAATGTTAGTTTAGTTTCTGGTCCTGCAGCTGAATGTAGGCAAAGACCTCTTAGCGCTTGGATGCAAACAGTTACAGGATTGAAGCTTTAAATATGCACTTGGATTTGTTATTCTGAAACCTGTTGCACTTCTAAAATGAGGATAAAGAAGTTTCCAATTTGTCATTAATATTTACTGTTAACATTCTATTACCCATTCTCCCACCATTTACCTAACATTTTTTTCTTTCATCAAACAAAGACTTTGTTTCAGCACTGCAACACAACCGTGGAGCAGGGTGTCAAGGTAATGCAAGGAATGTGAAGCTGCTACTTACAATCATGAGCAAAAGTGCCCGGTTAAATGTCATTCATTCGACTTCTACAGACTGTTGTTTGTAAGAGAAATCAAAATATGCTTCCTTAGGTAACACTGAATTGTAAGCATAGCTCTTGCATTTCATGAGAAGATGTAACTCTAAATAAAGCAACAGATGATTATTACAAATTTTTGCCTTCTACACAGTTATGATTTTTTCATGTAGGTTAATAGTTTGGTGCTTTTTCTGCAGAGAACTTGAGTGTTTTTGTGAACACATATTGTATAGATGATATCAGTGTCTATTCTCTGACCATAATAGACAGTGACTTGTAAATATAAAAATTTCAGCAGTGTGGGGGGAGAACAAATGCATACAGACTATATATTCAGGCTGGTGTTGCGTTAGAATCTCATGTTTATTTTCCAAGATGATTGATCTATTTCAGATTTGAAAAATTCTTTGTGAAAGTTTATTTAAACGCTAGTGAGCTCAATTGCTGAGTCTTTGCAGTGAGGCAGTTACCTTAAGTCTCTGTTGCCTGGATCTATCCAGAATGTGAACCTGCCCTGCAGAAAGTGGATGGGAACGTATCCCCTTTTCTGGGCTCATTTAGCTGCACAGACCCTTAGCTTCATTTTCCTCAGCCTTTCTTGTTGGTGACTTGTAGTGGGAGATGGGAGCAAGGAGGTTCTGAATATATTGGGGAAAATAGTGCCTGTCTGGGTGCAGCAGGAGTAGTTTGGCAGAGTCAAAACAACTGTACAAAGCCCTTTAACCTCTTATTATTAGTTCTGAAGGTATTAGCAAGAAAAAATTCTTAATATTGATCATGTTTTGATTATGGATGAATGAGGCCTGTTGTGGATGGTCAAAGCAATTTCAACATCCTTCAGCACATGATAAGGACGGCATATTTCTTCCAGCTATATTTAATGCAACAAATATCTATTATCTATTTATTTTTCTGCTCTAGGTGATTTAGGAAGCAATGGATGGACAGAGGTTATTAGTTAATTCCTTCACTGGATTGTAATCTTAAATACATCACTGGCATCCTATACCTCAGAAGAGTGATGTCTTTTTGTCTTTTATTTTTATCACAAAGACATCGTAAGTGCATTGATGAAGGATTGTTTTAGAAAGTCTGAGGTTGTCCTTCATTGCCAAAACCAGATGTTGACATTCTAAAAATAAATAAGATACATTTTAGGGCATAAGGACATTTATTAGCACATTGTGCATTATTAGCACATCTAGTACTAAAGGGATTTTCCTCAGGTGTGATTTTCATAACCAAATACTAGACTTCTTGATTCAACTGTTTCTGACTAAATCAACTTCCAACAAATTACATAACCTGTATATTATGGCAGATTAGGTCAACAGTAAGAACTTGGGGTTTTATATGCAGTCAAGGCATACACATTTCTTTTTGCATCCCTTAAAGTAATTGTTAACTGCTTGACATTTAAGAGTGCCCTAATTTTGTTCTTTAGAATGGCAGTGTAACTAATAAACCTAAAGCATCTATTCTAAATAAAACTATTAACAGAAATATCCTACATCAGCATCTTAAAATGATTTATTGTAGAATGCAAGGTCCTTTGCAGGGTTTTACTTTTAAGACTTAGTGCAGAAGCCAGGAATTGTGTTGAATGAGCACACAAATATTGTGGTATTGCACTAGTAGAGTGGGTGTTTTTTCGGGGACTGCAGCTGGCCTTTAGGATTGAGAGTGACCCCTTTGAAGAACAGCCCGAATTCTCTGCTCACGTGGTTTATTGGAATTCTGTAAGAAGCCTGAGGTTTAGTTTGATGCTAGCCCAATAACGGCATTCGGATGCACTCTTAAAATGACTACTAGACTAAAGTGTAGCATTTGTTTGTGAATTACTATGTGCCACTGGAAGGAGTAGGTTCTCACAATCACTACAACCATTTGCACGTTATAGACACTGAGCAGGGTCAGTGCCAGGGAGCTCTGGAATGCTGGTTTGACAAGAGTCGTGTTCTGCTCCAAGTCCAGCCTGGGCTTTTGCACTCAGCCCTGCATCCCTGCTTGCTGCTTGCGTGCAAGAAAGCAGCAGGTGCCAGTGGAGGACTTGCGGGGGAGAAATAATCAAAACAGCTGTTGTTAAGAGTACACTTATACCGTGTGAATCTATAAAAAATATAGTGAAATATTTTCATTAAATAGTAGTTTTGGCAAGATGTGTTATACAATACTTTATCATATTCTACCTTACAGCCAATATTTTAAATAAGATGTGAAATATGTTTTTCTTCCATGGGCAATAGGACACAAGTTCTTTTATTATTACCTACTATTGCATCGGCTTAGGAAAAGCTAGAGCAAATAGGCCTTTGGGGTGCCCGGTGCAGGAGGACCGAACGCAGCTCACGTAACATCTCTGCAGGACGACACTCTCTATCTGTGCCCTCCGTACTTGGCCACCCAGTCTGTTCTTCCATGTACTGGCTGGATTGTTGGTGGGCGAGTCAAGATATTCATGGTTCTGGTTGCTGAATTGTAAGTAGTTCCTGGTAACTGTGCACGAGCAGCTTTGGTTTTCCAAGAATAATCTGAAAGGAACGAGAATCCAGAATTGATTACAGCTAAAAAGTATTTCCCTATATTCACTATATTTCATTTTATTTCATTATATTGGTTTCCAGCTGGTCTCATAAGCATTAATTGTGCACTGCTGCATTTCTGGCCTTTCTACACAGCTTTTCCCTCTTCTTGTAATTGGAGTACTCACTGCTTCCGCAAGCTTGCTATAACTGAAGTATTTGCACTGCTGTAGTTGACAGCTGCTGCTTTTCATGTTCCTCACCACTTCTTCCACTTTCCCAAGCCTTTGAAGTCAATCCCTTGGGATCCCTACTACCCAGACTTCTGCAACATCTTATTTTATTTTTTAGCGTTCCTGAAGCATGTCTTGCCCCTTCCTTTCCTCCTTTCATAGCTTAGTTTTCTGTTGTTATAGAATAGTACCCAGACTTCTGCAACATCTTATTTTTTAGCGTTCCTAAAGCATGTCTTGCCCCTTCCTTTCCTGCTTTCATAGTTTAGTATTCTGTTGTTATGGAATACTGATACTTCTTCAAAAAAATCAGTGTTGTGGATAAAATACCTTGCATATTTATTCTGTTTCTTGTGACAGCCACCTGCTCTTTTCTGGTATTTTTCAACAGCAGAATCCGTTTGGTAAAATTGAGGATCAAGACATTTTAAAAGGGGGAATCTCAAGGAACTGAACCTGCTGAGGTTTCCATCACATTGGAAACTAGTATTCCCTAGTATTTTAGGATGGCATCCCCCGTATTTCAGCAGCAAATGATTCCTGTCTGCCCTCTCTGAGCAAGGAAGGTCACTTTTCTCAGCACTCAGCATTTTTCTCAGAAAATTTACACTTCATTACATTATTTAAATTTTGACATTAAAATACTTAGTAGAACAAATGAAGAGAGTGAAAACAAAGGAGAGCATAACCTATTTCCGAAAATAAAAAGCATAACATTAATGGAAAATTACAGTTTGGATAATCAAAATCAAAGGGTCACCAAAAAATGTTAATATTCAAAAAGAACAGATAGCAGATAAAATCTGCTATTTACTTCATCTCCATCTCTCTAGCCATCCAAATCTGCTGGTTTTAGTCTCAGCATGAGGGGTTTAAGCAATAGGACTCACTCTTCTCTGGGACATGAAATAGTCTCCTAATAGACTTCCATCTGCCAGTCTGCCTGACTTTCACTACACATTTTCCACTTCTAATTACAGATTAACAATGATTTTATTTCCCTTTGGAACACCATAAGTAATTTCATTTCATTCTCACTGTTCACAGCAGTCTAGAGATAGTTGCCAATGCTGTCCTCCTGTGAACTTCTTTATCCAGACACTGTGACAACTCAAAATGAGAGCTGCCATTTCTGTAGTGAATAATTAAAGCAAGAAAGTGCAGCTCCACTCCTCCCTGACAGGTTTCTGACCAATCCAGGCCCAGTATCAGACTGGTCTGCCATAGGCCACTTAATTCACAATTTAGGGCCTTATTATGTCCTCTGAAATAATTAGACAAATGTTCTTGAAGGGTTTACTCACAAACCAGTTTCTCCAGTAACCTGAGCACTTTTGTAAATCTTCTCTAAATCAGAACCCTATCAATAAAGAAAGTGCTCAGCCTATACATATCTTAGGGGAGATAACAGTTATATTCAGATGGATTTCATATCACTTTCAACATAAAGGAAATAAGATTTTTCTTTAATGTAATGCACATCCATGTCATCACTACTCAGCTATTCATAATTAGTTACTGACATTATAGGAAAAAAAAAAAGAGAATATAGCAACTTTGAAACTTTCACTTCATAAAGCCCCGTCTCTTGTGACAATTAAAGGTTGGAAATTTTATGTCAGCTCAGTATCCACAGACTTGCAGAGCCAACACAGTGAGGTAAAAACAGAATGAAAAACCATTTTCCATGGCCACAATAGAAGATGTAGACCCGATGGGACCGTTAAACAAGAGAGCAATTCATTTTAATTTACTGCTTATAGATTATTTGTGAATTTACTAAATCACCTGAGGAAGGTCTTTGCCTTTTTTAACACTGGGGCTGTTGTAAGCATGGATCAGCATCATTTCACTATATTGGATGAGATTATACTGCTGATGGATTCAGATTTCTGCCGGAAGCTTCACTTACATTTAACCTGGCCTCACAAAACAGGATAGCTCCATTGCACAACTGCTACTGTCAAGAAAGTTCCTACAGATCCACTAAAATGGAACACAGTTTTCTAACCTGGATTAATCTAGTTGCCTATTTACTAAATGATGACAGTACCAATTCTTACCAGCTACATAAATCACGCATTTGTATTTGTGTCAAATCTCTATATGATCATTTACTAGCAAACTGTGGAGTTATATAGTTTTACAACTCCGTCTAGCCCTTGGCTAATCAAAACCAATTTAGTTCAAACTTCCTGGAATAATAAAAGAATTGCACCTTTATTTTCTGTTTTACCTAACACTAGTAGCAATAGCTTCTCTGGGTATCAGGATCGTCTCTAGATATCTGCGTCCAATTCACGTATATTATATGATAGTTTCAGACATAACTTCTTACAAAGCTGGAAGAAAACCTTATTAAAGACTAATAAATCTCTCAGGAAGTGTGGGAAATGAGCTTCTCTGCTTCAGATGTGCCTGCCAGGTAAAGGAATGTTTTCTTACCTGAGGCAGGTGCCCCAAAAGGCGCTAGCTGTATCCGCTGTCCAGCAGATCCAACTTCTTTTTTATGAAACGAGGGGATATATCCTCCTGGTGGGTTGTAAGCAGCAGCCCCTACAAAGCCAGGATTTCCTGTTGGATGTTAGAGAGTTAATATTTTCAGCTGGACTCAGAAAATTTCGCCTGCTTTTCATAGTCACTTCAAAACATATTTACAGTGCCATAAGACTACTGTGGATGACTGTTCTTAAAATACTCTAGCTGTTATCTGTTGAGAAGAAGCATATATTTGTTCTGTGCTTTGTATGTTAGCTGAACCCTTTAAAGCACCTAACAAAGCCTGTAAGTCCTAGGTTCCAGTACATCTGAGGCTGCAATTTAGAAGGCATAAAAATAGCAAAGCGGAAAAAAACACTTCACATGTACTTTCATTAAACTAGGACCTTGTAGAAAGGTTTATGCTGAGTTATAGGGAAAGCAGAATCCTATGTTTTACTTGCAAGTATTTTCTTTACTAGAAGCCGATTCAAACACTTCAATATTCAAAAATTCGTGGTGGTCTTGCAAGCCACAGTTCGGGTCTATAGCTACCTAAAAATAGATCCAAACTCCTCCTGTGATAAGTGGTGCACCACTTGAGGTTGACTTTGCTAGTTCCACAATTAAAGACCTGCTATGAAAGGCAGACCTTCTCTCTTGAGGTGTGTATAGAATTTTATTGTACCTAGTTTGGGTCCAAATTTTTATTTACAGCAGTGCTACCTTGGGCAAGTTGACAATCTCCACATCTGCAAGTCAAGAAACAGACTATATTTACACACAAAATTAGTACTGAAATTATTGTCAAATGGCTGAGGGTTCTTATACAATATTTAAATTGTCCGTGCTCTGAGCAAATTTCTTGTCCTCTCTGTCAGCCATTGCTGGGACGGTGTGAGACTCTGTATGCTGGTGCAAAGTCCAGAGGAAAACTGTTTTCTCTGGTGTGGTTCCACATTGAGTTATAGTAAATTTGTGAAGAAGTCCATATACATCTCTTTTAATTTGACATACAGCAAATGAGTATTTTTATCACAGTAACACTCAGGATGGTTTCAATGGTAGCTCTGATAAAACATATAATAATCTGATTTGACAAGTTCTTCCGTTTCACAAATCTGTGGCTTCAGAACAAACCACAAATGCTCCTCTTCACCCAAACATCCCATTTCCCCCTCATGATTATTTCAGAACTATAAGCTGTAAAACTGGCTATCTACAAATTTCAAATGACTTCTCAGGCAATTGCAACTGTGTGGGGTCATAGTGCCTCTCTTTCAGAAACATTAATAAAACATACTCAGCTGAGCTCAGTTTTGCCCAAACTGCCACTTGTGTCAGTCCTGAGAACAGCTGAGTCTGTACGTGGCTTCCCTGTATCTGAGCTGAGACCAGTTCCCAGTGCAATAAAGAATGACACAAAAGTCCCAATAAAAAATACAGCTTTAATGAAGTATTCCAAAGAAATGTAACTTCTTAATCTTTTGCTTTTCTTCCTTTTCAGAAGTGTGCCTGAAGGACAAAAACAACATAGTTTTAGTGGTTCATTCATCTGCCCATGCATGTACACACTTACATATTTTTCTCTCCCCTCCAGTTCTGATACCTAATTATTTCACTGGGAGTGCTCTGTGGGTGTCCTTTGACAGCTCAGCAGTATTCCTTGTAGTCCTGAGATCTCAGAAAAAACACCTGACAGGCTCCTTTATAAGCCCTTCTGCAGGAAATGGAAGAGGGCAGGCAGGAGGATCAGTCCGGAAGAAACCAAAGGAGTGATCTTTAGCTGGATGGACACACGGGAGGAAAACAAAAAGCCTATCAATACAAAACAGAAGAATTACTCCAAATAAAAATTTTAAATCTACTGCCGTAATTCATTCCTTACCTCTGACGGGGCTGTGCAAAAGGAGGGGTTCTCACTAGAAGCCCCATCAGGCTGGTGGGTGGTCTGGCCGCAGGTGAGCAGGCAGGTGCTGATGGCCGTGGTGTCGGCAAGCACCAACTTAGCTGAGGCAGGAGCGCCTGCCTTGCACGGTGCCTACCTGACTCTTCATGAAGGACGGAGTCATTGAGTCATTGCAGGTAAGCAGCAAGTTAAGAAAAAATGATGACGGGCTGCACTGAGGTAGATTTCCAAGGCAGCACGTGCCTGAGGTGCCAGAAACTCTGGGAGAGGTGAAACATTCCAGCAGCTTTACGGTGCTTGCAGTGGACAGTGTTTACAAACAAACAAGGCCGCCAGGAAACTGGATTTTCCACCGTTACTCTGAACGCACTGCAATCAACGCAACCACAGAACTGTGACATTGGTGTGAGAGATGCAGAATCAATTCAGTCAATAGTGCAAGTCACAAATGCTACTGGGAACCAGCCGTCCTCCAGCAGAGGTGCACGTGCTTGTCCTTTAAGTCGGTCCTTCACCCTTACCCAGCTATAGCACAATTACATACGATAAAATACGATAAAATATTCTCTGCCGTTAGAACAAGTTCCAGGGGTTCAGTTACTTACTGGTACATTCATATATTCTTTAAATGAATTTAATAAGGACATGTGCTCAGTTTCTTCTCTCACATTTCAAAGGATTGCAATGGTGTAATTTAGGAAAAATATAATCCTCAAGTTGGTCTGCATGTGGGGGGAAGTGACTCCCTCTCCTCTGCTGTGAGAGCAGCTCTTCACTAACCATTTAATTCCATGTTCAGTGAAGTTAATGGTGAAGATCTCATTTCCTTTCAAAGCCCCAAATCAACAACTGATCTTTTCAGTTTCCACACAGATAGAGAAGTGCATTCTAGTTTTGTCAGAATAAAAAGAAAAATAAAGGAATCCTTAAAATACACATATTTGTTTTACTTGTGTTCATCCAGATGACAACTCCAAGGAGTAAAAATTAAAGTGGAAACAGTTTTCCATGGTGCTTAACCCTGAGAAAACTAAGATTGACTTATCTGTTTCCCTGCTTCTATGTGCCAGTGAAAGATAGTTGCTAAAGCTTAACTCTTTGTTAAGTAACCCCTCTGTCTTAATTCCTTCAGCCCAAAGAGTCTTGGTCTAGATCAATCACAATAAGGAGGGAGTTTTGACAAAACAGTGGAACATCTGAAAATGAAGAATGTAACAATTTAGCATCTGCATTGTAAGTGCAATTTTAAAAGGAAACTGTAAAACACAAACATGAAAGGTACAAAGAACCAAGCTGTAATTGCTATGAATTACCTTTTGGATCCTCTAATTTTTCATTCAACCTTTCTTTGCATGATAGTTTTTCAATTGGTATAATTAAGTTCTCTTCTGCATAGAAGGAAGGTGAAAGGAAGAAAAAGATAGAAAGACAGTGCTTTAGAAAAATGGGGTGAAGAATATGGCTAGGTGATACAAAAGAATGAGGAAAAACAAAGCAAGAATGTATTTTTCCAACAATGCAGTCACACTGTAGTCACACAAACACACAAATCACACAAGTTTAAGCATTCAGGCATATCTGCCAAGTTGACTGATCATAACCTTGTAATTCTTCATGAGAAAGCATCTGGAAGTATTTGTTGTTAACTTATTTCCTCTTGGGACAATGTTGTGGGAAGGGAAAGAAATGGAGGCTCTCTGGCTCTATCCAAATTTAGTTAAGTAAACTGTAAACAGCAGTGTCAACTTTCAATCCAATTAATATGAAAACTGAATACACAGAACTTACATGGGCTGCATTTCCCTGATTTGTGTCCCAGCTATCCTGCTTTCACATGCATCTGTCTTAAAGGTTATTGCCTCCCCATCGTTTGAAAGATCAGCACATCCAACTTAAGCTACTGATGGAAATAATGGTAAGTACTTTTCAAACAACCAAAATTGGCTCTCTACATTATAGGCTTTTTTGGCCTTTTTTGGCCTTTTTTTTTTTTTCCCCCTTCCTCTTTAGACTTTTTAGCAGATAGCCCGAGTGAGCCATGACGGACAAAACAAGGATCTTTGACCAGCAGAATTCAGTACAATGATTTTCTTTGCACTCCAGTTTGGAAAGCCTGTTCTCTCGGCGCGTACTTTTGGAAACTGAGTCCTTCACCTCTTTATGCCTCATTCAGTTTCCAGGGTATTCTATGAGCAAATTAATTCTGAGGCATTTCAGAATAAGGCAATTCTGAAACCTTGAGACAGGGTGTGTAGATTGTTAGAAGAATAATTTAGGATGATAAGCAATAATTTTATTATGTCTCTTCACTCCATATCTTATGTTCGTATGTTGGACTAATATTCTACAGTGTCCCACATCCCACCGATTAAGCAGTAAAGAGGTCAAACTGGTTGCTTAGATTAATTGGATATAATAACAGATTTAAGAGGATTATGAACAAAAAAAGACTGAACTTTATAATAAGAGCTAGTTTGTACTTCCTTTATGCTCTGAAAGCAGAATAAGTGGCTTACATTTGAAAATGTTATTTTAAGAGTAAGTAATGAAAATAGAGAGAATAAGAAGGAGGCACAGAAGATAAGCCTGACAGAAGCTAAACCAGAAGGTCTTAACTAAATGAACTGCATACAGTATGATGACTGCATACAGTGACTGTTTTTAATTACCCTTTTACCTGTATTATTTTTGTTGAAAGACAGTCCTCCTCCAACATGCCCTAGTGGTTTAGAAAACAACTGATTGCTCCAGCTTCCGTGTGATCCTTCTTTACCGGCTGCTACTAAAGAGACACTCTTAGGGTTTACACCTTAAAAAAAATTATGTCAAATGCTGTAACAATCAGTCCACAAACATAACAATTCAAACAATGAATCTAAGAAAGTAAACCAACACTGAATTCTTTGTAATGTAAACATCATTAATGTAAGTCTAAGAACAATGTCCATTGATTAGGTTAGATTTCACAATAGAACTATAAAAACAGCAACAGTTATTTAAAACTTTTTTTCAGACTTTCAAGACAACATCTTTTAAAGTCTATTTAGTACAGTCACTTGTTTTATATAAAACCATAACCTCATTATTGATATTTAGACTTTCAAATAGGTAACTGCTAAATAACAAATATGCTCCTTGAAGGTATTATTGGCTTAAATGCTGATATTAATTATAACTAAGCCTTTCTCATTGAAAAAACTACTTAAAAGAGTGAAGCATTAGAATATTTTTTCTTTTTTCTTTTTTTTTTTAAGATAAGAAATTGCGATTAGCTACCCATTTGTGTTATTTTTAGATAGAGAAACAGTTTTTTGCAGACTTAAGACTCTTGAGCCTCTGGGTGTCCTATTTGACATTCCAGAACTTTATTCAAAAGTTATGGCTGGCTTAATGAATTCCTGGGGAATTAGTGACAAATTCTGGGAAATGTGTAATAAAACACTTTTTTGGCAGTCAGGAACTCCTTGTGAGCCATATGTGTTCTCATGTTCTCATGTGCTCTATAGTAAAAGTCACAATGCACTTACTGTAGCTGCACAAACCACCACATAAAGAAAAGATGGTAAGAAGGACATCAAGAAAATCATTTTATGAAAGCATTCAAAAAACCAAGTGAGGATATGCTCCATTTCTTTCTCCCTCTTCCCATTCTTCTTCCTAGCATCAATTCATGTTATTCAACTCTCAAAATCACTCAGATTTAGACTATGTTACCTATATATTCCTGGAAAATGACTCTCTTGTGAAGAGAAGCATGTTTATGAATTCCTTCCAGGCTGGGTGGATAATGTTTTTAAACACTTCCCACCAGAGCAACTTTGCTTTTCAGAACTTTAAGTCCCAAACCCCCAAGCCTGCAGGCATTACAAAACTGAGAACCCTGCACTGTGGGTATTTTCTTCAGTACTCAGATAGCCTTCTAATGTTCCATCAGAACATAGTCTGAGGCCTCCAAGGGATCTTAGATTCATGTGATTGAGAGTGTTTTATATGCTAGTGATCATATGGGTGCCTGAGAACTATTATGCTGTATAAGCAGCGCTGAGCTCTTTTACCTCTACATAGCCAGGAGCTTCCACACCAGTGTTTTATATGCTAGTGATCATATGGGTGTCTGAGAACTACTATGCTGTACAAGCAGCGCTGAGCTCTCTTTTATCTCTACGTAGCCAGGAGCTTCCACACCAGCTGTGGCAAGACACGGTCTTGCAAAACACTTAACCCAACACTTGGAAGATTAGCCAGGTTATGAAAAGTGAAATTATCCAGTGTGAAACGTAAAGTTTAATTGTACTGTGTGTAGATTGTTTAGGGCTTGTGTTCCCCCTTACCAGGCAGGTATCTTGATTGTCTCAGGTAGTACTGTTTTGCTGATGTATTTGATATTCCAGAATCATTTCTCATTGGAACCTTATTTTCACCTCCTGACTGGATACAGCCTGAAACCTTCGGATCTGGCCCACTGAAAAATCAAAATGTTCAGACAACGTAACCAAAAATTTCAGCTGTGAATAATGCAAGCTGGCATGGGACTGAAGAGTACAGTGCTCTTCCCTCATCCTGCCTTTAGCAATCAAATTTATTCCCACTGAGAATAACAGTCAGACCTCCTACATCATGAGTTTGACTGGGACTTAAAAAAAAGATTGTATCCAACACTATTTAATGGCTATTCATGGTGCTCTTTGAACATCTAAATTGATACAGAAACTGTTGCTTATAATAAATTAAAATGTAAAACACAACACAAAATAACAGCCAATAATAATGTTTGCATTGCTACTTTAGAAATTATAGAAATAATCAATTGTTTTACATGTGAAAACGTACAATCGTTTTGAAAGTTTGTATAAAGATTTCCCCCTCACCCCATTTCAGAACCCTATATGCTTACTCAGTTAATAGGAAATAGAGGAAACTTGAGATATATTTTAATTAATGAAATGTCAATGAAAAAGCAGGGCCGTATCTCACTGAGGTAGTTACTGAAAGGAATGAAAGTGGAACTCTGTATATTAATGAAGAATTTGACTTTAAATCAAAATTTTGATAAAAAGCAACTAAAGACTTTTAAAAAGTAATAATGCAAGTATATATGTAAAATAGCAAGCCACACCACCATAGTAAGAAGTCTTATTGTTAGAAGAGCTCAGTGAGAACATTAGATTAGGCAGAAGAATTAAAAAAGCCAAGATGAGATCACTGCTCAAAAAAGAAGGGGGAGAGGCATTCTGAGCACTTGTCCTTTCATGAATCTCTTACAGGAGGAATGCTTACATTTAGAAGACTTTTCAAAACCAATGAAAAGAAAAACTAAGGCAGATAAAACTGTGTAATCCAAGTGGTACATGAGGAGCAGTATATGGCACCCTTCCTCATTTCCTTATCCTATGAACAAGTTCAAAATAAGTGAGATTCTCTTGGGAAAAAAAAAGGTATTTTAAGAAACAGTCTACCAAATAAAGGCAAATGTAGAGAAGTATTGCAAAACTTTCTGTAATTTGGGTGACATAAAAATTGAAGCTAACTTAGTTTCGGTTTGAACAGAACAAAACAAGACACTTTAAGTGCCTGAAAATAAATTTGATTCAGCTTGAGTATTAAGTGTTGTTTTGCGATGACCATGACCAAATCTGATTTGCTCGTATAGCTCTTTACATCCTTACAGAGCTTCAGCAACTTAAATTTTAGCCAATTTGTATCAATGCATAAATCTATTGGACACTGTGAACCACAAAAACTGTGAATTTATAACTACAGGACTTACCCCAAAAGGCATTCTTTGTTTTTCTTTTCTTTCAATAGTGCAATGCTAGGCTTCTTTGAATATGACATTCCAAATTCAGCGTCATCCAAGTCATCCCAGCTGTCCACAGCCTTTACCAAAGTCTGACCCCATCGTCTCCTGCAGCTTTTAAGACCTGCTGCACCATTCTGAGGACCACTAGCTGCTTGTTTCTATTTTAAATAAGGAAAAAAAAAGCTTCAATTCAACTCTCACACTTTGTACTTCTTTACACCTAACTCATTTCCTGAATATGCATCAAGAATATTGAGATTTTTTCCGCTTGTATTTTGTGCCTAATTTGGTTTGACTCTCAGAAAACAAATAACAACATTGAGAGGTATTTGGATTGTACCTCAACTTCTCAAACTAAAGTTGCCCAGCTCTACCAGATGTAGTGAAGCTAATGTTCTACTTGCTGGCCCAGTTCAGTCCCGAGGCTCTACTGCTGGTATCCTGCAGACCCTGGGCTCTTCACTGCAAGAGACTGCCACACTCGTGACAGTTTGTGGAGAACAGACTCTTTAGGGCAATCATGCTCATGGCTTGGAGCAGCAGTTGCCATGGCCCCAAAATAGCTGTATCTTTCAGAAGTCAGTTAGGGCTTTCCTTAACATTCCCTGCCAAATGAACAATTAGATTGTAAAGATGTTCTTTCACCTGACTGTATTTTTCTTTCCATATTTTTTGAATATATGTTATGTTTAGCATACTCTACATTGTAATTCAGTAAGCATAAGTGGAAAGTCAAATGAAGGGCACCTTTCTTTATTTTGAAACAATTTAGGTACTCTTAAAATTTCAACCCAAGGTTTAATATGCATCTTGCTAAAACTCTTCTTTTAAATTGAGACAAGTTTAGGAATTTAAAGGAAGGGATAAGTTCCATGCGATTTACAGGTGCACATCACTTTGCAGGTAGGAATGAATGAATGAAATCATAAAAAATCCTCTAAGCTTTCTCAGGAATCTTCTTGCATAAGGCAAAGGAATTTCTAGCTTTCTATTTATTTAATGTAAACTAACAACATTTTGTGAATTGTTTTGTTAAGGTTAATAAGTGATAGCTGTTATAACAATGTTACTGCATATGTCAGTAAAGGCTATTATAAAAAGCATACATTGTTGTTACAAACAATATGTTCTTCTGATGTGCTATAAAATTGTTTGTTATGTCTTTAACTACTCCCTAATTATATATTTGTAATTCCTCTCATAAGGAGTGGGACAATTTTCAGGGGATGTACTGACTGTTCATAGTAGTAGCTTGTAAGAGAACTACCTAAATTAGCCATTACCAAAAAGCAACTTACTGGTGGTGAGTTTTTAATGAGGGCTGGAAAAAACGGCTGTGCCTGAGACTGCTGGTGTTTTGCTATTTGCTGGTTCACTGTATTCTGAGGCAACTGGATTTGCTGGAGAGGTGAGTGGTCAACCTTTGACAGGGGCTGTGCCTGTGTTTTGTCAGGTACCTCAGGCGAGGACAGAGGTTCTGGCTTGGCTACAGCCTCCAGTTTGGGTAGAGTGGGCTTTGGCTCTGTTGGCTGAACTGCTTTAAGAGGAGTCTGCTTCTCCAAGTATTGTGAAGGAGGTCCTAGAACCTGGCCAACTTGAAAGTAAGGGTACTTCAAAGCCTGGAAGAGAGATGGAATTATATTTCACACCAGTAATTTCTGTAACCACAACAAGGATCTAAGCATGTTTTTGAAGTATTCAAGGAAGCTCTAGAGCACAGATATAAGATGTATACACAACGAGAACATATGTAAACAGTAGATACAGAAAGCTATCAGTTCTATATTTAAAGTTTTTCTCATATAATCACACAAAGATGAATCCACTTGTACAAGTCAGAGCAGTCATAGCCTTTCTTCCTCCTTTACTTCTGGGTTTTGTAGGGCCCAATTTTAGGGACGCGTTCTTAAGAACTAATGTTTATATATTATGGAAATAGCTAATCTTTAAATATTTACAAAAAAACAAATAATGTACTAAAGAGGATTCCTACTTTCATACAGTAACATAGTTCCACCCAAATATATAATTTCCACCAAAATATTAAATTCTTAGTGCTTTATTGCACACTTCCAATCCTAACTATATTCTGGTGATTTCTGATTCTTCCTTGTTAGTCAATGAAACAGCCCATTAAAAAAAAAAAAAACAGAGTTGCAATGTTTGCCATTCAATATTAATGTATGGCTTTTGCAATTATAATTTGTTAACAATTAAAATTGCTCCTGAATTTTCTAATTACCAACTTTCCACTTTTTTTTTTCCTTTTGTTTAACGTGCTTTGTATCATATTCACTCTTTACTGTGACTTCATCTTGTTTATTAGGAAACTGTAGTGTTCATTTTCTTCCCAATGAGTATTTCATTTTGTTCCTCTGACCTTTTCATATCTGCTGGAAGATGCTAGTATGGATGTACTGCACAAATGCACCAAATCTTCCTGTATCATAATAATACTCCATGCTACTCTTGCCAGGTAGAATCCTACTCTTTGTGAGAGTTTTCAAAGAGATTTCTTGCCTCGGCTGCACTTGAGAGTTGCAGCCTTTGTACACATTTCCATGAGTGTGCATTAAACTCTCCCTTTTGGCCATGAATTACACAACTCCTGCAACTGCTTCCCTGACAACTCACTTGGGCAACCCACTTGGGCTATTTATGCAGTATGCAACATAACCTCTTATGAAAGCAGAGATCTACTGCACTTGCATACTGCTTTTCATCTGCAGCATTAGCAAAAAAAAAAAAAAAGTTTAATTGTCAATACCCCCCACAGAGAGGGGAGAAAAATGAATTATGAAGAAGCGACATACAGTAACAACTCAGGAAACTGATAAGATTTTCACATTTTAATCTGTCCCGTACAAAGAGAGTTTCAGAACAGAAATAACTTAAGGTTTAGAATATTTTCTCCTCACTATCTGATTTCATTCCCACACAGGCCTTCAAGAAGAGGGACTTTTTTTTCTGACCTGCAGTTTTGTGACAATTAATTTATTTCCTTATCTAAAATATTTTAACAATGTAAGTCAGTGCTGTCTTATACTGAATCACTCAGAGGCTCAGACCTGACTTGCTGTAGGTCTTTTCTTTGGGTTCCAGTTCAGCATATCATTCATGAGCTGTATTGCTTCACTGCTTGCATTTGGGATGAGAGTTTTCAGGTTTATAGGGACACACTGTGGGAAGCGGAAATTCATGGCAGAAGCAAGGTGGTATCCTTCTGGCCAGTCACTCTGTTTAGAAGGAAAGAAAAATTAGTTAAAAACAACTAACCACTAAGACTATGTAGCTTTCTGGAACTTCAGTCATGCTTGGTCTGTGTAGGTCCTTCCTACTGGACAACAGTCACTCCTGTTGTTCACTGCAATTACTATGACACCCATAAATGCAGCATCAGTCTCCACGCTACTATTAAAGGGGTAAGTTAGACTGATTGAGTAAAATTTGGTCTTAACCCATCGTATTGCCTTTACTCATCTTACAAACTAGCTCCATTCATACAATCTATGGTAGTCACAGAGCCCAACTGTAACTACAAAGCAAGTCTCAAGATGATGTCAAGTAGACTTTAAATAGGCCTGAAGACTTCAGGTGACCTGCTATTCCATCACACAGAAGATTTTGTTCATGTAAATGAACAGGGGAGACCCTGACCTCCTTCACTGCCTCTTCCTCTGTTATTGGAGTTGATGACATTTTGTTTGCCAGAGGTAAAAACAAAAGGACATTTTAGATCTGAGAAGCAATAGCTAATGCTTGAATTGGTGAAATATAGGGATACAGTGAAGGCAGTGCAATTGAAAAAATGAAGAATGTATTTCAATTTCCCAAAAAGATATATTTGGAATTATTTCACCAACATCAACCTTGAATTGAGGAAAATGCCTTTCACTAAGCTCTCCTTTTCAGACTGTCATTAGCTTTTTCATTAAATTATCATACTCTCAGTGCACCACCATTGCCAATTGTTGAACAGTGTGACAAAAATGTATCTGTAACATGTTTATAAGGCACTACTTAAAATAGTTGCTTGCCACACTGAATCATTAAAAAAAGTCAACACTCAAAGTCATTGATATGATATGGTATTAGAGACTTAGACAACTAATAGGAAGACTGTAATGAAGGTCCCTTCTGGGCATGATTCCTATAATTACTTATTACAGTACAATGGACTGAATAAAAATGTACGTTTGAAAAATATGCTTTTTGTGAAACTTTATCTGCAGAAATGGTCTTACAACATAATTGCTTGTGCTTTTTCAGAAAGCTGAAAAATACTTCACTGGTAACAAATGCAGTGTTTGTTGTGGTAAACCCTGTCACAAAACCCAGGTAGCCTTCTTATGCAATGATCTCCCTGAAGATTGTCTTTGCATTGTCGTAAGGAGATAAAATTCCCGAGTCTGCCCAGCAAACGACAGAGGCACACAGGAACTAATTACTGCATCCGGATCCTAGGGCTCACCTACAGGGACTCTCATCCCTGAGATCATTAGAAAAGACTACAATTTTCTCTGAAATATTCAGCTGATAACACCCTTCCATCCCTCTTTAACCAAGCAATGAGCTTGCTAGTCAGGGAATGATGGAGTGTCAACAGTCTTGATTTGCTTCTGCTCAGCCACTAAGGCTACAGAGAAAGAACCACTCCAGCTGATGCACAATACCCTTCTGCTACACATTTTGAAATTCTCCCTCTGATCTCCTTTCATTTCTAGAGATCATTTCTACTATAAACTGAAAATGTCCCAGAAACAAAAATACCGTTTTCTTTCACAAGTATACAGCATATATACATATATAACACACACACACACACATATATGTATATATTAAAACATTCTTCTCCTTTTCCTAGGCTTGAGAGCTGCTTAAGGAAAGAATCTTCAACAGTAGGCTTTGAAAATTCAAGTCTTAAAATAATGCTATATTTTTGATTCCTAGTTGTCACAGAAAGCACAATTTTACACAAAACAACTTTCATTCAATCCATCATATTCAATTCCCACTTCCACAACATATAATGTATAATTCTCAACCCCTGACCTTTCACTCTCTGCTCTGTCATAAACTTGCACCTGTTTCTCTGTATCTCCTCTTGGATGTCCTCTCACCACTTTAGGCTCTATGTGTTCCCAGATAACCTTATTCTATTTATGTTTTAAGATTTCTGTTCCTCATGTTTCTCTACTAACAGCTCCTTTACAGGACAAGGATTATATTTTATTTTATAATGGTACAACACCAATGAAATTGGTGCCCCCTTCCCTTTGCTTTTTCCAAGACTCTCAGTGACAGACAACTATTTCACAAATTTCTATTTGTTCCCACAAATGAAATGCAACTGTACATCTGCCAGCTCTTACCCTAGCTATGATATTTTTAAATGTAAAATAAATTATTTTCTTGATTGTTCATACATCTATTTGTTTAAACAAATTTTAACTAAGGTAAATATAATCCTGTGCATTGTTACATGCTCTTTCCGTGTATTTTCATATTTTAGATTCAATTTGAAATAGTACTTAGGCCTTCAGGTAATAATTGAAAATAATTGTTTTTCTCTATAAAATACTGCATCATTTTCTCCACTGCTTTTTGTTGCTAAGAATATCTCATATTTGTGTTCCAGCTCAAATGTTCCTTTCATGCTTTAAAAATAAAAGTATTTTGAAGTGTGGCTTGTCTTAAGTAGTGTAACTTAGACATACTCCAAATTCTGGGTGCCAGAATTCCTTCATGTAAGGAAAACAAATCAGCTGTAGCAAATGAAATCCTAGGAAGTTTGGGGGCTTTTCCCTAAGATATGTCTTAGCCAGAATTTTATCTGGCTTTCAGTACAGCGGAGAACAAGGTTACACATAATAGCACAACATAGATCAGACGCTAAGATACAACAAAAGACATTTGGTATGGCATGAGGTATTACATGCCTCATTAGAAGTTTCAAAAAAGAAATATAGTTGAGAAAACCTCAATACAGACTTCTCTACAGAGGGGTCTACAACCTCATTTGCAGAGGCAGCTGGTTGGCCTGTACTGCGCTTGACCTGTGGTTGTGGTACATACTATACTGGAGGAAGAGAATATCTTAAGTTTGCAGAAAACTTACTAAAAGAATAATTTATATTTATGTTCTGAAAGCAAGATCAATTGCATAAGGTTGAATTTATCTTTTTTGCTTGATATTTTTTAATTAGTATGTGAAGTGTTTCAAAAGTCATACCTTCTTTGGAGTCCCCAATACTTGGCAAATTTTGAAGATTTCATCTACTTCACTTGTCCCTGGGAAAAGAGGCCTTAGTGTGTATAGTTCTGCCATTATGCTGCCAACTGCCCATATATCAATAGGAGAGCTATAAACTGATGATCTGAGTAATACTTCAGGAGCACGGTACCTACGGGAATGGAAAGAAATTATAGGTAAAATCAAAATGGGAAGCAGTGAAAGGTAACTACTAAAGATCATGTAGAACACCATAGTACACTTACCACCTGGTAGAAACATAATCTGTATATGGTGGCTGAGATCTTAGCTCTCTAGCCAAACCAAAATCAGCTATTTTCACAAGTTCTGGACCCATACACAGAAGGTTTTCAGGCTTCATATCTCTATGAAAAAATCCTATAGAAGACCAGACAGAAAAGAATGACAAATAATTGTTATCACTTCTTAAACAGCTAGCTCTTAATACCACCATTCAAATCTTACCTTGGGATGGTTTGGAAGATTACAGCTTTGTATTTTATCCATTCTTATTCAAAATAAGAGAATTGCAAAACAACAAAACACATTCTCCTCTCCAATAATTATTAATACATTTTAGTAGAAAAATGGAAACTGTCCTTAACAGGCTAAGGAAAATAAATTAGCTATTGTAGCGGTTATCAAGTAACAAACTAACTTCAGAATGAAACCTTTAAAAAAACCAATAACTGTTTCAGCAGTTTTGTATAATGGAAATTGAAGTATCTGACACAATTATCTAGTTTATAAAATTCCTTAAAGAATTTAAACAAATTTGCTTATCATTATGAGAGCAATTTGCACATAGGAGCATTTAAAGGAGTTCAAAATTCTACTCTGGAGTGCTAACACACTAGTAATGTGGAAACAAAGTTTCTTTAATGCTTACTGTTTGATTTAGCACCTATATACCTGAGCTTTTAATTTTAAAACCATCTTTAGAGGTTAGATCACTAAGGAAATCAATTCTGCTGTTTAATTAAAAAATACTCTTTGTTATAAATCAATTTAAAGCTCACTCACTACAACAAAACATTTGATTTCTGCACGCAAAGACTCACAACTATAAGCAATCAGCTGAAATTATTACAGTAAAAATATCATTTTAATCAAATTTATCATACCTGTCATTCTCAACCGTAATTTAGAAATGGTATATTTTCCTAAGTTTTAATTTCTCATCTATTTTATGCAGAAAGGAAAAGGGAAAAGAAGATGCTAATAATCAGAGAATAGTATATGATTTTGGTCAGAAAGACAAAAAAAAATCATTTATGGGTATTGGATAACACTAGAGAGCAACCAGTCAATTCATGTGAACCCATCAACAGCCTTGCACAGTACATGAAAACTGATCAGAAATCAGCGCGATCATTGCTTCTTATTCATTCTTGGCGAATGTTTTTTTCTTTATGGAAATTTTTAGAGATAAAAATGTGAAGAGAAAGACAAGCACAAAACAAATGAGTTAAGAGGGAGCAAAATAATGGTTTTTTTTAAAAGTAAAGGAGCTTAATACTAGTATTTCAGAATGCAGTTTACAGACTTATTGAATATGTGAATTAAAAGTTTTATAAATTCTATGAAATTTTGTTGTTGTTGCAAGACCGCAGCACCCCTTCTTTATAATGAGCTGTTGGTGCTTGTAATTGCTAAAAAGACTAACATCTTAAAATGTTTGTATCCATACTGTATTTGACAAGGAGACTGAATTTTCTTAGTCAGCAAATTGTTCTAATGTTTTTGTAGACTTACGGCACCATATTAGTTATAATAACTTAAGACAGAATAAACTGCCATCTGTAAAGTATCAATGCTCCTTAAAGAGATCCTATTCTAGAAAATAGAGAGAAATGCACAGTATAGCAAGCACACAGGCATTCTTTAGTTTGTTTATTCATCTGGCATCTAAGGGAGAAAAAGTGCTAGACACTTTTTTTGAAATGTTGAGCTCCAATGCTTTCAAAACAGTTTAGTTTAGATGGGAACAATTAGATGGGAACATCTAATGATATAAAAAGCAAGATAATAATTTCAGGTACTGTTTAAAAATGCACTGTACTTGAAGTAGATGGGAATAATTTTTATTGGAGATTATTAATAGACTGGATCAGATTTTTTTAATTCATAGGTTGTTATTACTGTGCATTACCTTCTTCTGTATTTAGAAAAATACAACACAGTTAACTCCTCTTAAACCTACCGTGTTTATGGATAAATGCTAGCCCTTGTAATATCTGATACATAATGTTTCTGATGACTGACTCAGGGAACAACTTGTTTCTGTGAAGAAACAAATTAACAACTTCATGTAATTAAAAAAAATAAAAAGCTACGTTTTCTTCTATAAGGCAAAATATTTGTGTTTCTTCATTTTGCACACTACCACATAAACAGATGAAAACAGAACTTGCACAGAAAACAAGACAGGCCCAGCTAGTTCTTCTCTCCCAACTCCCTTGCTGCCAGACCTTAAGTTTGCTCTTTTTCAGTGCTGCATAGAGACTTCTCTGCAGAAAGGTCCATGACCCAACACGTAGATGCAGCCTGACCTTGGCTAGCACACATGAATCTACAGCAAACAAGGGACTGCACAGTTTAGCACACCCGTGTAGGCTGTATCCTCAGGGCAGCCCGGTTTGAGAGCAATGCCTCTCAGCTGCAGCACAGCACTGTGCTGGCACTGCTAGCAGCTGCCACGGGAGGATTAGGCACAGACTAAAGACAAATGTTAGCAGCAAAAGAATTTAGGAAGGGAAAAAATTATTAACAATAAGGTAGGTTTTATTTCAAAGTCCACCTTGGAAAGCTTGCTATTTACAGTTCATCCAAGACTGCAAGATCAGGCAGTCCTTGAGGCAGCTCAGGTCTTTCTCACCAGAATGCCCGTACGTACATGCAGGTGGCCACTTCACTTACACCAAATCCACAGGCAAAAATGGTATGAACAAGATTTTAGCTAGTCCTTCATAAATTAAAATGAAGGCCAAAAATAACGGTATTTAGAATTTCTCTCGTTGCTGAATATACAGTGAAAGCATGCAATCTATTGCCTAATAACTGAACAAAGTATTATTCCCAGGAGTATTTTAAATTGAGCAATGAAGAATACTACCCTCTGTATGCAGGAACTGGAGCTCCTGCTCACATCAGAGAGAGGGGCTGCAATAAGAGCCTAAAACAAAAATTCTCACATGTTCCTCAAGCAAGCATGAAAGACATAAAACAAAACACCATAGCACACTATCTGTTCTATGAAAAAAAGTATACCTGTCCTTCATTAATTGATAGAGATTTTCTTTCATGTATTCAAACACAAAATACAGCTGGTCATTTTCTCGGATGACTTCTTTCAGCTTTATTACATTGGCATGATTCAGTTTCTTCAGAGACTGCAATGCAGCAAAAAATGGTTTCAGAAAATTTGACAGTGAGTTTGGCCCCTTACCACAGCTAAATTTTAATCTATAAAAGTTTCCAGCTGAGTTGATGAGTAACACACAAAAAGGCATAGGTGTCTACAATGAAAAACAAATTCTGAAGCTGTATCAGCCCTTGCTTACAGAATAGAATACAAAAACAGAATTTTAAGGCGTATTTTTCTTGTTACAAAATTCTCATGAACAGGGAACATCTTTCTTTTTGGGGATGCTGATTATGTGCTATGTCCAATAATTTAAACCTAAATTATAGACACCCAGCTCATCTGACAGCAGTTTTGTGTATACAGAATATAAGATACCTGAAACATAAGATGACTTCAAGTCCAGATTTCCAAGTGTCAGGCCTGGTCCTCAGCTAGTCAAAACCCCCAGTGCTTTCTAAAAATGCCCCAAATATAAGATATGAGAACTGGATGTACCTCAAATAAGCTACCAGTAATGAAAGAATAGGTTGTTAAAACACATCAGAAGACCGCTTATCATTTTTATTATCCTCTATCAATGATGGAGGGTTTGCTACAGGACATAGATGACCACTGCTTGAGGATGACTGTGTGAGGATGAGGGATATTCCACAATTCATGAGCTACTCTAGAAATGCCAGCAGCCCATGATGGTCATGGAACCTATCACTCTGGTTCAAAGATTTCTGCTCAAGTTTGAGCTTATGCTTACATACAGTAGATGTCTTTTCCCTTCATGCAAACCTAATTAGATATTTTCTTAAATGCGGTATGTTCATGGTTTTACCTTGACTTCTCTCAAATTCATACATTCATCCCATGAATAGAACTTTCTTTTCATTCTGAAAAAGAAGTCCATAACAAAGTATTTTAAGTAAAGAGTACAGAATGATGCTAGAATAAAATAAATCCAAACATGCTATTTTTCAAGTGCCGCACTAGCCAACACGGAAGATACGTTTTTATAGACATAATTAGCCAGACAACCCATGCCCAACTAAACCCAACTAAATCCAACTAAAAGACATTTCTATTGGACACATATTAGGGACACAAGATCTTGTTGTATCATTTGAATTGTGCCCTTGATTGCAAGGGAAACAACACTGACATAGTGCATAAAATGTGGATATTTGAAACAAGAAAAATCACTTATTTGTGCCTTAGTTGCACATTTTATGAAAACAAGAATAATTACATTTCGAAATTTGAAGAATACTTTAAGGGCTTAACTCTTCAGCTAAGTCTGACTGGATTCAGTTAAGCCCTTCAGTTAAGTCTGACTGGATCGGTCATTTTTACAAACCTTTTTTCATTAAGGTATTTAATAGAGAATAAAAATGTATTCATTATTTCAAGGAATACTCAAACATACACATAAACAGAATCTCTAAATTAATCATTATGTGTGTCAGTATAGCACATTTATTTGCCAATCTTGCACAGATACAAACACAGATATTAGGTGTTGCTCAGACCTTTGGATTTGTTGAATGAGTTGTTTAATGAGTTTCTGAAAAATTCTACTTCCTAGAGTGACTGTATTTAAAACTGAGATTTTCTTTTAAAATATATATATCTACCACCTAAATTTCTCTCCACAAAACTCCAAATTTAAAATCACACCAAAACATTGCAAACCCTGAAATCATGAGATTGAAAAACTAGGAAAAAAAATGCAACTCTCCACAAAATGTGGTTCATTTTGCACAGGATTATTTGCCTAGAAATAGGATGTCATCTGCTTTTTACAATTCATATAAATATTATGAGAAAACAAAGTCTGCCTAATCTATTAACTGTACGTTCAATTTTGCTTTTGCCATTGTTCCAACATTTTAGAAGGAAGCACGTTCTAACAGAACTAAAGCAGTGTGTAATTTGATAAGACAAGAAGCACCAATAATTTATGCAAGCTGACGTGTCTCACTATCGATCCCCCTAGTTAGAAGCCTGACACAAGATCACTTAGTTAAGTATCTTAATAGAAAAAAAATACATTTTTGCCGTATGAAGTTGATTGGGAAGCAAGTTGTCCTTTGTTCCTGTACACAGATGGTAGACAATAATATCACAAAACTTTTCCAAATATGTTTACAGAGTAACACATACCTTTTGATAGCCACAAGTTCTCCTGACTCATTGCTCTTTCCCATCAACACACTGCCATAGGTGCCATCGCCCAGTTGTTTCATTGTCGTGTAACGGTTCATTTTGTAAGCCCAGAATAGTCAAAAGCTTCGGAAATACTAAATGCTTTCTGTTCTATTATAGTATTCTGCACTCTTATTTTCTTAAGGAAGTTTTCTTCTTCCACACTGCTTTACATTAATGAATGTCTTCTCATAATTAAGCAGGATATTCACTGATCTGCTCCAAATTATAGCTATTCTGAGATCCAGATATTATGTTCAAGAAAGAAGAAGACACGGTCATTCTCATATAGTTCCTTAAAAAGAAAAAAAATAGGTAAAACTGTAATTTTACAATATTTCTAGGTAAAAATACCGTACTGTACTGTACTATTTGTATCTAACAATAATACCTCCCAGATATCCAAGTATTCTCTGACTAGAATGCTTCAATAAAACTATTGAAACTATTTTCTTTAAATCCTTCAAACCGCAGAACGTGCCTGGTCTAGGATTGGAGTAAGCAGGGACTGGAGAGTCACAATTATTGTCATAATTCCCTAGAGCTGGAGAGGTGCCTTTAAGGCTGAGGTGAGGCTTTCATAGAACTCCTTATTCTGAGTTTGCAGACAGCAACAAGTTCCTAATTTGCAATAAAGGCAGGGCTGAGGTTTGGTATCACAGACAGAAGGCAACTGCCCGAAGACACACTGAGAATATCTAGGAATGGGCTTATGTTTCAAATCAGCAGGACAAGCAGGTTAGTTAGCCTTAAAAGCTAGTGAGGGAGGGAGGTGAAGCAGCAGAATGAGTGCCTCTTCCTCAAAGTAAAGCCCTATGTTCTTCTCCAATGTATAAACTTATTTGGAGATCTTACTCTGAAGTTCTCAGTCCATAGGCACAATTAGGATTAGGCAGAATCATGTCTGATGAGTAAAGTTTGCTGTTACATTTTAAAAGGCCAGTAGAGATAAAGCTCATGTGCATTGATCTGGAAGCCTTAATCTGAATTTTCAACTAGAAGACAGTGCACATTAAAAAATGCTGACCCTTCATCTTCTGTTTATCTAAACTTCAATTTGAATCCTAATCCAAACTCAAGCCCTCACTCTGACTATGCATTATCTGTCAGCAAAATTTAAAATATTGCATAATTGCCTATTATCAAGCTCACAATATTCATTCACTTAACCATGTAGGCCAAGGAAAAGTTAATAATCAGTGACAGCATTATTTATTCATCATAATGCAAGTACTTAAAGACACATGAGTCATCTACCACTAACCTAATCCCAGCATTGCCTCTGCTGTCTGTAGATTTAGACTAATGCTTAAATCAGATGACATCCACCCTCACCTAACACTACTGAAGATGCAAAATTCAGCTATAAACATAATTCTGTAGTTCTTGTCATCATGCCAGAGCAAGCTACAGGCTGCTAAGGCTGTCCAAACAGATTGAGACTCACAAATTCAGATGGTAACAAATCTCGGTTCACTCACATAGACTTGGTAAAATTCAACAATGAAGTTGTGTTCACAGTAGAAAAGGGACAAGATCACTGAGTAGGCTAATCTGCTATGTAAAAAAAAAAAATCCAAAACATATGCCTAGGTAATACACTGACATTTCCAGGCTGTTTTTACTTGAAATGTTGCCACCTTGGAGAAGTAGCACCTCTTCACTCATTGTTGCTCCTGTTATCTGTGAGGAATCTTTTACCTGTCAAGAATCCTGCCACAAATTACTCAGTGGACAATCTCAGTTAATATTCTTTGCACTGGACAAAAACCATTTTGGCAATGAAAGACATACAGAACTTTTCATCTATCCATGAAAAAGCCATCTCAAAATAAGATCACTTTTTAATAGTGTATTCTATAACATCTTACAAAGAAGATTCAACAAGAAATAGAAATCATATGCAACTAAAACAAGCCAAATCTTATTTTGGAATTTCTGATATTTACATTCCTGTCATCAACTTTCTCAGAATTCAGCTTTATATCTTACTCACAAAAGTGCCAGAATGCACACTGGTCTTCACTATCTTGAATGATGTCATTTCTCCAACAAGACTTCTTGTAATTGTATTAAAAAGATGTTCTTTTCAAGCTAAGATACATGCTAAGTAGTCCTATCTTGTTGCTTACCAATTGCAAGCGACAGTAAAAAATCCCACTAACTGAAGGTATTTTAGAATACATTTTAAAATACAGCACCTATAGCATGAGTAATAATATACATGCACGTTTTATGAATAGAAAACCAAATTTTCATGTAATGCACAGTAAAATTAAACATAACAGGATTTGAGTATCTGCACTTCTTCAACAAGTCAAATTTCTGCTTCACACCAGAAATATCTGAAAAATCAGTACTGTTCTGGAAATGACTAACCAGACAATTTTATAGCAACAATACTGCAGGTGGTAGCCCATAAGAAACACTGAAAGTTGACAGAGCTTTGCTGACCAAAAAGTACAGAACTGGATGCTGGCAGACTCTGACCACCATCATCCACTCATATTTGAATAAACGAAACTGCTAAACACCCGTTTTTATTAGGCTGCTATGATATCAGGATCAGAGGCTCTTTTGCTCTGTTGAAATTACAGAATATAGTGATTTAGAATATGAACAAAAGCCCAAGAGCTGCATTCACCATACATACCAGTTCTCTGTTCAAAAATTGGCATTCAGCTTTCTCTTTTGTACCAACACTGAGAGAACAAGGATGCAATCTAGCTTTTCTTGGTAACGCAGGCCTCTGAAGCGGCCTTTGCCATCCTACATCTTATATGATAGTATATCCCAATATGATAGTATATCCCAAGATACGTGCAACTCTAGCATGTAAATATTCCATCATAGTCTTGGCTACCAAACTGAAAAGAGAAATCCTATTGCAGCAGCTTGTTTTATACTCTTAGTGACATATTGCCAACAATCCCTTCACACAGGATTAAGGAAGGATTAAAGCAGGGGACAAATAGAGGGCAAAATGCAGCAACTCAAAATAATCTAACAGTTTGTGTAAACTTAGAGAATCTGAGCAACTACTAAATATTTTAAGAAAATGTTCACATTTACAGCATTACTGGTGTTGTTTTTATAAGCAATAGTAATAATCCTAACTGATTTAGAAATGTCAGGATTACAGTTTCAAATGTTGTAATTAATAACAGCAAATCATCTGCCTCTCTGCTGCACATTTATAATGCATTACCAAGGAGCATGTTTTAGAGTAGAATGTTGAAGAAAAATAATCTATCCGTCTATTAAAATACAAACTAGAATACTTTCTCCAGTAATACCCCGAAACAACAACAACAAAATAATAGCAATGCTGGTTTCACTGAGCAACACTTAGGGATTTTCCAACTCTCCTACTCCCAAGGGTGCTTGGACACACCACCTATTTTCAAAATCCCCAGGTCCACTTGAGATCACTATAAATTTGAATCTATGTCCATTTTGGCTCAGCAAGCACCATTTCCATGACAATTCCAGTTTCACCCAGTGACTTTTTGTTATCTGTTAAGTGCAGTTACCTCCCTTTGCATGTGCTACCCTGGGAAAAGGGAACACAACTGTCCTCTCACTTGTTCAAGATGTGAAACTTGAGATTTCTTGGCTGGGAAGTTTCACCTTGGTTCTCATGAATAGAAATTAGCTTTGTCTCATCAATATCGAGCACTTCAGAACATCAAGGCCTTGTCACTGCAGCCAAAGAGGGCAGGATTTGTGTCCCCCACACACCACACCTTTGAGCTAAACGCAGCTGCTGCTCTTACACCCATCGCTAGGACCACAGGCCACCTTTGAGCAGATGCAAAGAAAAATCACCCCGACTCGGTTCATCTAAGAGTAAGGGTAGAAGGCCGGACAGAGCCGAGGTCCCTCTGACCACCCTCCCCTTTCTCACCGGCTGCTCAGCCCCGTTTCGGGGTTAGACCGGGGCCCTCTCCCCTCCTCCCTCCAAACCCGGCCCCGCTCCGCCCCGCGGCCG